TGAAAATGGATCTAATGCAATTAGATTCCACAAAAGCATTGCATCTTCACATCCTCACAACCAAAGTCAAAGCCATAAAACAAAAACGGAATAACAGAGAGTGAGAGAGCTAGAGCTTACACAAATTAATGACGGCGGAGGCCCGTGGACAACGGGCGAGCGTCGGATGCCGGTGATTGGAAAAGCTAAGAGCAGCTGGTGGTGGTCGGGCGAGAGACGAGAGGAGAGTGAATGGTGAGAGAGGCGAGTGAATTCTAAAAAATGGTTTTGACCATTTTCTCTTGCAATTTTAGAGAGATTGTACATAACGTTGTTGAGGTGAATTATAAGCATAAAATAATGTAAAAAATTGAAATATTGCATTATTAAAGTCATAATTTTGACCATTAATACTTACTAATTTATGGATCGATAAAAAATAAAAGTGTATATTGATAACGTAAAATACTATATTTGTTTATTTGATTGTTTAAAGCATGACATTTTAATTTGAAAATATGTATATACATTGAAAATGAATTAGTAACTAGCATTTTTTTCCCAACTTTTTGATTTTATTTATTTATTTATATTTATTTCCCATCAAGAAGAAAGGCACAAATTATTATATTGACAAATGCACTTTGTTAGTCACAATTTTTCATTTTTTTTGTTTTTTTCTACTTTAGCAGAACATTGTAAGTAAAATATATGTTGCCAGTAAAATAACATGGGACAGTAATGAATGAACACTTTAACTTAGAATTATATGTACAGAATTTCATAGGCAACGGCTATATTGCACATTACTAAAATCAAAAGCCACCGCCCATTTAACGGTCCTTTTCAGTTTTTGTCCACACCTCATAAACCCCAAATTTCCCTCCTCTCATCACACGAAATCGTTTCATTACACCTCCCAATTTCCTAAAAAAAAAACTAGAATTTCCTTAAGCTTCTTGCACAATGGAAAATGCTGACCCGAACATCGCCAGAGTCCAGCACGTCGCGAAATCATCGTCCGACCAGCTCCTGAGGAAATTTGCCGAGGTGGGTCCCGATAAACTTGCAGCCAAGGACCTTAGACTGGCCAAGCGGGTAAAGCGAAAAGTTTGTGCTGGCCATGTAAGTAGCTTACCGGAGAAAAAATTGCTTCTTGGTCCTCTGAATGCTCATAAATCG